CTGCCGGCCGGGCCGCGGCGCACGCTGCTCCGCCACGTCCTGGTGAGCGATCGCTACCGCTTCCTGTACTGCTACGTGCCCAAGGTGGCCTGCTCCAACTGGAAGCGCGTGCTGAAGGTGCTGGCGGGCGCGCTGGGCAGCGTGGACGCGCGCCTCAAGATGGACCACCGCGCCGACCTGGTGTTCCTGGCCGACCTGCGGCCCGACCAGATCCGCCACCGCCTGCGCCACTACTTCAAGTTCCTGTTCGTGCGCGACCCCGCCGAGCGCCTGCTGTCCGCCTACCGCAACAAGTTCGGCGAGATCCCCGAGTACCAGCGCCGCTACGGGGCGGAGATCGTGCGCCGCTACCGGCCGGGCGCCGGGCCCGACCCCGCGGGCGACGACGTCACCTTCCCCGAGTTCCTGCGCTACCTGGCGGACGAGGACCCCGAGCGCATGAACGAGCACTGGATGCCCGTCTACCACCTGTGCCAGCCCTGCGCCGTGCGCTACGACTTCGTGGGCTCCTACGAGCGCCTGGAGGCCGACGCCAACCACGTGCTGGAGCGCGTGCGGGCGCCGCCCCACGTGCGCTTCCCCGCGCGCCAGGCCTGGTACCGGCCCGCCAGCCCCGAGAGCCTGCACTACCACCTGTGCAGCGCCCCGCGCGCCCTGCTGCACGACGTGCTGCCCAAGTACATCCTGGACTTCTCGCTCTTCGCCTACCCGCTGCCCAATGTCACCCGGGAGGCCTGCCGCCAGTGACCACCACCACGGCTGGGGTTGGGGAAGGGAGGGGGGGCTGGGAACCCCTGGTTCTGGAGGGGGGGAAGCTGGGGCTTCTCCAAGGTCTCCAGAGAGCTAGATGACAGGCATTGCCCCCCCCACCTCCCCCCGCCAGAGTTCCTTGTCCAGAGAGAGGAGGGTCGTGCCCACAGTGGACAAGATGGGGACAGGGGGACCGGCTGTGCCTCAGGGGGAGGAAGAGGGGGGTGTCTCTTAGTGGGGTCCTGCGATCTTGGTTCCCTGGGACCCTTAGTTGGTTAGCGAGGTATTCATCCATCTCATCCAAAAACACAGGCTTCAGGCCTCCTGCTGCAGGCCTTGAGTCACCCCATCCAGCCTGCTTGGTGGCACCAGCCGGGAGTCCGGGCTGGGGCTCGGGGACCCGTTGTCTGGGACCCCTCATGTATGCACCCCAGGTGCCTCAGGACCGGGGTGAATGTGCAGGCCAGGCGGGTGCCTTCTAAGTCTCTGCTGTGCTTTTCTGCTCCACACTCCCAAGTGCCTCCACTTGCTACTTTTCCATGTTTTCCTAGGAAAGGAAAATGGAAGCTGAGCAGGGCCCTGGGCCTAGTTTGCTCCAGGAACCAGCCCAGCAGGAATCCAAAGACCCTCGGGGGCCCAGCCTCTCCCTAGAGCTCTGGGAGTCTCTTGCCCAGAGCCTCCTTCCTTCCCCTGCAAGACCAGACCACTGTGACTGTGGCTCTTCTCCTCAGCTATCACTTTTCTAATGCATTTATTTAAAGTTTATACTTTCTGATAGGGTCCTGTGGAGAGCTGTTTTTCTCCTCTAATAGCTGAAGTTTTAATAAAGCTGTTTTGTATACGAGTGAGCTCTCTGTGATTCCCTCTGCTGAGCTGCGGTGAGCCCAACAAGTGTGTCTCCAGCCTGTGGGTCAGCATCACACCTTCCGCTCTGCGGGGGCTTCTGACAGTTTGCAGAATGTTTCCAGCTCCTGGAGCCGGCCCTACAGAAGGGAGTGGAGAACATGAGCCTCTCTTCCTCTTGGACAAGAATGCTTCCTTTCTCTTCCTTTTCTTTTCTTTTTGAGATGGAGTTTTCCTGTGTTACCTGCATGGACTAGAAAGTTGGGATTACAGAAGCACACAGTCACACCCAACTCAGAAACACATACTTTCTCAGCTGACCTCAAGCCCCAATCTTCCAGATCTCTGGCTCCCTAGTAGCCAGGATTATAAGAATGGGCTTCTGCAACCAGCCTTCTTAGCTCCAAACTATTTCTCTCCCTCTCTCTTCCCGTACCCTTTTGGGTCGATCATGGGACTTGACCTCTGGGCCTGGGCTAGTGCTCTACCACTTGAGCCACAGCACCCCTTCTGGTTTTCTGGTGGTTTATTGGAGATGAGTCTCGTGGAGGGGACTGGGGAGGTGGCTCAGTGGTAGAGCACTTGCCTCACATGCATGAGGACCTGGGTTCGATTCCTCAGCACCACATACACAGAAAAGGCTGGAAGTGGCATTGTGGCTCAAGTGGTAGAGCGCTAGTCTTGAGCTGAAGAGCTCAGGGACAGCGCCCAGGCCCAGAGTTCAAGCCCCACAAGGGACAAAAAAAAAATTCTCATGGACTTTCCTGCATGGGCTGGCTTTGAACCACTATCCTCAGCTCTTAGCCTCCTGAGTAGCTAGGATTACAGGTATGAGCCACTGGCACCCTGCCAGACTATTTCTTGAGTGAGGAAGCCCCCACTGTATTTTCAGATAAAAAAGGGGTCAGTATACAAGGGGAGTTCATTTCCTGGAACTGAGAATTAACAAGGAAAGGGCTGCTAACAAGTCAGTTTTTTCTAGGAGCTTCCTGGCACTCGGAAGCCATCACTCACAGAGTTGGGCCTATGTTGTATCTACCACTTAATCCAAGGAAGAGCCCGGTGCCTGCCTAAGGGCTCATCCGTTCGATCTTACAGATGGCTATTCTAGCTCAGAGAAGGAAGTAACAGGGGCTGGGAAGGTGGCTCCGTGGTAGAGTACTTGCCTTGCATGCATGAGGCCCTGGGTTCCATTCCTCAGCACCACACACACAGAAAAGGCCAGAAGTGGCACTGTCGCTCGAGTGGTAGAGTGCTAGCCTTGAGCAAAAGAAGCTCAGGGACAGCGTCCAGGCCCTGAGTTCGGTCCCCAGGACTGTAGCGGGGAGAAAATTTAAAAAAAAAGAGTCCCATGGACTTTCCTGCCTGGATTGGCTTCCAACTGCAGGTCCACCGATCACAGATCACAGCCTCCCGAGTAGCTAAGATTACAGGTGTGAGCCACCAGCACCCTGTGGGGGAGCAGGTTCTGCAAGGCCCTTGGCTTGGTAAAGAGAGGACTGCTCAGGGAAGGAGACACCCCTATCTAACCTGCTCTTGGCAGTGAGCCCTGGCCTCCCGAGCCAGCCCTGTCTGACTCCGTCAGGTCACTAGAAATTGAATTTTTATCTCCCCACTCCTTCTAGAACTCTGAAGGAAATGATGTATCATATCACACACACACACACACACACACACACACACACACACGTCACACACTGTTGAGAGTGTAACAATTCTCTGGGTACAGTCATTGAATTCTATCTTGTTGCCTAGCAACCCAACGACATTTCAGCCCTTTCCAGCCAAAGGGTAGGTGAAGGGGGCGGGCACGTGACTGGCTGGGGCCTTCTCGATCTGGAGGTTTCCATATGGCCAGTAGCCTAAACAGCAAAGGTTTTTACATTCTGGGGTCTCCTCCTCTCCTCCTCCTCATGGGGGGGTGGGCGCGTGTAGCAAGTGGACACTTTGGGGCCCTTCCTTCTTTTTTTTTGTTTTTTTGTTGGTCATGGGGCTTGAACTCAGGGCCTGGGTGCTGTCCCTGAACTTTCTGGCTGAAGGCTAGTGCTCTACCACTTGGAGCCTCAGCCCCACTTCCAGTTTTTAGGTGGTTAATTGGAGGTAAGAGTCTCATGGCCTTTCCTGTCCACACTGGCCTCCAGACATGATCCTCTGATCTCAGGCTCCAGGAGCTAGGAATGCAAGTGTGGGCTACCAGTGCCCAGCCGGCCCTTCTTTCTGGTCTGGGAGCCACACTTGGAATGAGGGCTCTTCCCAGGAGACGAAACACCCCCTGTGGTAAGTAGAGGGTAAGAAGGGCAGATCCAAAACCTCCAGAAGGGAGATGCACCTCCCAGTGATGGGGGAGGGCATGGAAGTTCAGAGGCCCCCCCCATATATACACACACAGCAGCCCCAGTGTGCTGACTGGGGTCTCAGCCCTGAGCTTCTGTGGAAGTTCTTTATCCAAAAGGCAGAGAAGCGCCGGGCACCCGTGGCTCATGCCTGTAAGCCTAGCTACTCAGGAGGCTGAGATCTGAGGATCGCAGTTCAAAGCCAGCTTGGGCAGGAAAAGCCATGAAATTCTTATCTTCAATTAACCACTAGAAACCCAAAGTGACTCTGTGGCTCAAGCGGTAGATTGCTCGCCTTGAGCTGAAGAGCGCAGGGACAGCGTCCAGGCCCAGAGTTCAAGCCCCATGATCAACAACAACAACAACAAAAAGGCAGAGAAGCTATTGTTTTATTTATTTATTTTTATTTTTGGGTCCAGTCGTGGGGCCTGAACTCTGGGCCTGGGCGCTGTCCCTCAGCTGTTCAGCTCAAGGCTAGCGCTCTACCACTTGAGCCACAGCACCACTTCCAGCTTTTTTTTTGCTTACTTGGTGCTGAGGAATCGAACCCAGGGCCTCATGCATGCAAGGCAAGCGCTCTACCACTGAGCCACCTTCCCAGCCCCCAGCTATTGTTTAATTTGTTTAGTATTTATTTATTTCTGCCATGCTGAGCAACAAAGGGCTTTGTGCTTGGTAAGCAGGTGTTCTATTAGCAAATTCATGATTCTGCCAGATGTGAATACATGTGTGCATCACGACTTTATCCACTTCTTGGACTTCTCTTTTTTTTTTTTTTTTTGGGCCAGTCCTGGTATTTGAATTCAGAGCCTGGGCACTGTCCTTGAGCTTCTTTTGCTAAATGTTGATTGGTTCCCCACCCCTGCCTTAATTCCTTCGGAAAATGCAGCTGGTGGGAAGTTCTGAATGTCGGGAGAAGGTGTTTGGTGAACAACTGTGAGCTCTCGTGCTCACACTGCTGACTAACCAAAAAAAATAAATAATAACGGAAGCAAATAAAGGGTTGGGGCTTTGCCCCAGCAGGGCCTAGCAAAGAGAAGGCACTGAAATGAGAAGACCCTGGAGCAGCCTGGGAGAATCAGAACCCCAGCGGGTCTCCCCCACTTTCCTTCAGGCCCAAACAGGCTTCCGGAAGCCTCCATGCACCTGGAGGGCTACAGCATTTGCATTCCCAGGTAGAGGGACTGGCACCCCCTGGGAGGGGGTTTTGTCATTGAAATTGGTCACTTTTCCTGCATCCTGTCCGGGCCGGGCCTTTCTGTTTGTGTGTGGCCATCCCAGGCTGGAGGTCTGCCCCAGCCCCCGCCCCTTCCCCGTGGTTCTTCTGGAAAATGACTCTTCCCCCATACCCAGGTTGGCCCAAGCTACACCTTATTCTCCTGCAGAGATGGGTCTATACCCGCCCCTCCTCCCCCAAAGATCTACCAAGGTTTAAGCTTGGGTCCGGCCTGAACTCTGGGCCTGGGCGCTGTCCCTCAGCTCTTCAGCTCAAGGCTAGCACTCTACCACTTGAGCCACCTTCCCAGCCCCGCTTCTGGCTTTTTCTGAGCAGTTTATTGGAGGTAAGAGTTTCACAGACTTTTCTGCTCCAGCTGGCTTCAAACTGTGATCCTCAGATCTCAGTCTCCTGAATGGCTAGGATTGATTCCCTGAGACTCTAATCTCCAGACAACCAGAACTGCCACTGTGACTCAAAGTGGCAGGATGCTAGCCTTGAGCAGAAGAGCTCCAGGACAGCTTCCAGGCTCTGAGTTCAAGCCCCATAACTGATAAAGAAAAACTGCGTGTATTTAATCAACACACACTAAACCTTTATGTATGTAGGAAGAACACTTCAGATCAACTCTTAGC